AGTGACAGACCGCCACGACGCCGAAGGCGTTCTGCCGGTCTGCCAAACTTCTCAGGTTCCAAGTAACAAAAGTGGAACCTCCAGATAATTGAAATAACCCCGGGTGAGTGGCCAATAGCCACAATTGACTTGGAGCCCTATGTTTGGAGCCTCAACTAATGGAGCCATAAGCTACAAAAGGAGCCATGAACAAAAAGGAGCTGCAGACAATAGGAGCGTGAGCAATGCAAGAGCTGCAATTCGAACAATAACCAAGGTCGACCATCCAAAAACAATAAACTGGTACCAGAATAACCATGATCACGCTTGAATAGCACAACAAACGGTCGAGAATGGTCACCAAAGAAAATCGAACGAAAGATCGAAATTTTCCAAAGAATCTTTCAAATGTGTGCACACAAAAGAAGCTATGGCCAAGAAGCCCCTTTCCTTCGTTTCCGCGGATCCGCTTGTCATGCCACACACGGCACGACATGTCTTCTCAAAGTTCCGAATCTATCGATTTTTAGCAGACTGCAGTCAGAATATGATAGCTATGTGGATAGGCGCCACGAATTCCTCGTTCGTGAAAGGCTCCCAATTATTGTTTTCGGCGCCACAGTATAATCATTTTTTTTTGGGCTCCCCTCGACGTTATTAGGCGCCTCAGATTCGATATCGTATCTATTTCAGATAGGCTCCCATATTCACTAGTGTCAGGCGCCTCAGACTCGAATCATGTGTCATGAAGCTCGATTCGGAACTATACAGAACAGAACGGCCAATATAGTCATTAGCAGGCGCCCTTATTCGCAGTTGTAGAAATAGCTCCTAAGTTTGAAACGATAACAAGCAGCTCCTTTCAAACAATTAATAGCTCCTCGCAAGATGCGAAAGTGCGAACAAGCTCACGACTCCTCTAATTGTTCGATAAATGCACTATCAATTCGATAGTTGACCATAAAAACTAAATTTCAAAGGAGTAAAATGCAAATCGAAGCTCCAATAAATGTTCAATGAACAGTAATTAACCAAAAACACACCTTGCTAAAATCCGCGATCGTTATGATTGCTGACATCCATGGATGGAACAACCAAACAGTAGATCGATCGAAATAGTTACCATCGCAATGAGCGACAAGGAAACCTGGAAATTGAAAGAAAGAATCACGGATCAATCCGGCATTCTTCTGGCGCACTTCAAAAAACAATCGATATGAACGAAGTCACTACAAAACGCGAACACGAAAATGCAAAATCACAGCAGAGGCCAAAATAATACAAATCCGTAAAAATAGTACGAAAAGAGTCCCGCTATACTCAAAATGCTTGTGGTGGATGAAAAAATGAAATGGCCATGAAGCCACGGCAAGGCGATCTCGTGTCTTTATTTGACTGCGCAAATCAGTCGAAGGACACAAAGATCCAACAAAATGCTCACTAATACCGGACGAAACTAAGCAAAACAAGACTTGCAACAAGATAGCATTAATATTGATTGAAGTTTGTTCCAAGCAAACTGGAAAAATAAGTTGGACATCAGCAACATGCCCTCGAAAGTGTCAAGAATGCAAGGATGAGAAAAAAAGTAAGAATCCTCCCATTACACATGATGGATCCGTACTATCCGTACTCGCATAGGAATATTCGCAGACAACCACTAAAAGGAAGACTACTGAACACCATCATCAACGAGAAATGTTCCCAAAGAAACTCTAAAGAAATAATATCCAGAAGAAAACCATGTAACTTCCCATGGTGTCCATTATCAAAATCAATACCAATTAAACCGGAAAGGGACCAAGCCACCACTCGATTCCCACTTCTTTTCCCTCTCACAACAGCGCATTGCTGTAGCACAATCTCTCATCCCATTCTTTCCTCCACAAGAATCGCCCACTTATATCCCAATACACAAAATAAATCAGAATTTCCAGCGAGGCATATCCATAATGCACTAGATATGAGAGGAATGTAATCAAAGAGTCCATGCTACCAGCCAAAGCCAATACAACTTGGTCGCACTTTGCAGCCTACATGCGCATGCAATTGGAGCACGCCGCACTATCGAGACGATCGATAATGGTTAGCGGCCACGACAACAATGACCGCTCTCGTGGGTGCATATACACCGGCAACAACGCAAATGCCATCACCGGCTAATCGATGAGACACCATTCTAATACATAAATGAGGCAGCACAGACGTCAGAAAAAGAAGTAACACAACGAAAACTAAAAGCGAAATAAAGTGAAATCTGAAGAGAAGATACGCTGTTTCTACGGACAAGAACCAGCCAGCAGTGAGATGACTGCCGAAGGCAATGAATGATCGATGGAATCAACGGAAAATTAACTGTTTGCTAGATCGCTCCAATGGCAGTGACCAAAGAACATTGCTGATGAAAGCATAGTCGGAAGCGAATGGATAACTTGAAAGACGATCACGAACCTTTTCGCACCACAGCCAATTTTACCTATAGGACATCAATGACCTAGGGAAGGAAGAATTGATACCAACGATATGAAACAATTTCCAAGAACAATAAACATATATAAATATATATTTAGCGACACAAAGCCTGTACCATAAAAGCTGCACAAACAGTAATAGAAATCAATCCCACCGCTCCAACGGTGACACATCTCTAATGGAATTTCAATTAACGACTCCCGCCTATCACCTTCCATCTTCCCACGCATGAACACATTCCACGCGACAGTCCATTAGGGCAAGTCGCGACAATTCATTACCGGCCACGTTCCCACGCTTATCAGCGCACACGTCTCCCAGGCGAAAGCCGCCGAAATCCATTAAAGGCCACGCCCACTGCAATTAGCACTTCGAACTCCATTAAAGGCCACGCCCATTGCAATTAACACACCGATAATGGAAAAAAAGATATGCGAACCGAGAACCTGGCAAGCGAGCCGATCACTATAAAAGGGTTAAACATAATCCGTCGGTTATCATATCAATTGCTACTCTTGAATAGCCCAACAATCTAGTTAAGCTAAGACTACATGTCTTTCGCTTCTCATGTCTCATTTGGTCTACTGCGACGCATTAAATTGTTAAAGCAAACAAGGCCCCCTAACTGAAGAAGCTAATTTTAAATAACTAACTACTATAATCAAACGAAGAGAATTTATTGAAAGTCGCAACGAACATTTACATGAACAACACTCAATTTTTCACATGCGCACTCATGAGCCAAGGATGCTTCATTGCATTGGGTGCGGAAGACCTCATCAATTTGAAAACTGCGACAAATACCGTACAATCCACAAAAGATAGAACGCCTCAAATCTCTAACTGCCTGTTGGAAATGTTTTAACCCACGACACAAGACAATTTACTGTTACAGACCAGACTGCGCTAACTGTGGTGGACATCATAACACAGCAATATGCCAACGATACCAAAACTCCCCAAGCCATCGCAAGCCCTTCCAACCATCACTTCAGCGTCCAACATCGACACCATACAATCGACAGCACCCATGGAAGTATAATACACTCCCTCGCTTTGCTACATTAAGACCACAAGCACTACAACGAATCCCCCAAGACAACAACGTCATACAGCGTCCGTATCGCTTTCCAAGACGAGCATCACTTTCTCCACGAAGACCAAGACCAAACACACCACAAAGGAAGACGAGCAGTTCCCCATCAAGGGAAACAACTAATACTGTAACAAAACAATCGTCCCCTTGGACCCAGAACAGAGTAAGATTTGCTCCACTACCGAGAGATAATAAAAACACTAATCTTCATTCCCGTGCAACCCCTCTACAGCGTCAACCTTCACGCTCTAATAAGACATCAACAATAAGAAAACCTAATTCAGCCTTTGTGAACTTTCAAGTAAACTTCCCATGTTACCGCAATAACACAACGGAATTCAGTAATCAAACAACGCTACACGCTAGATTAATGATAGCTCCACTAAAAGTAAAGAATGAAAACAATCAGAAAGAAGAACAAGTATACGCACTTCTAGACTCCGCTTCAGACCAATCGTTCATTTCCACGACACTATCCGACAGATTGCAACTTATTCCTAAATCAGAAACCTCCATAATAGTTAATACGTTTGGAGGACATGCGGAGAAAAACACGTAAAACGAGTCGATGCCTTACTATTGAACCAAAAGGAACAATCGTTAAAAGTTACCTTACTCACAAATGATACGATAACACATGCACTACCAATAACAGAACTTAACATGGAAGATAAACTCTTCCTGGAAGACCAATTCCCTAACTTCGAACATTACTGGTTGCTCGACCCAACAACAGAAATAATTCCCGAAATCTTACTAGGCATAGATTACTTCAACGTCATACTACAAATAAATGAGCCAACCCTACAACTCCCTTCCAGGACTCCACATGACACCTACATTCTTCGGACCCATATCCGGGAAACCACACGACACAATGGAGCCACCATCCGACAACATCATCAACATATATAACTCCCAATGTACTCACGAGCACAGTAATCCTGATTACTCGGACTTGTGGAAATTGCCAGGCGTTGGCACAGAAGAACTGCAAACCAATGAAGAACTCAATCAACAAATAATTGCTAACTTCTACTCTACAGTAAGAATTAATGACGGCAAAATCTACGTTCAATTCCCATGGAAGCCTAACAAGCTCTCTTTAGCAGACAACTACCACTTAGCTCTTAGCCGATTGCATCAATTATATAAAATGAAAACAAAGAACCCAGAATGTTGGAACGAATACTGCAACATAATCAAAGAACAAATCGATAAAGATTTCGTGGAAGAAGCTACGCACATCTCAAACCAAACAAACCCACTGTACTACATACCACACCAAGCTGTAATTAAAACGACAAGTGCCACTACTAAAACCAGAATCGTACTCGACGCTTCCTCAAAAATGAAAGGTCAATTGAGCCTTAATGACGTAATTCATCAAGGACCATTAATCTTACCCAGCCTATGTGGCATACTACTAAGAGCAAGACTTGGTCCAAAAATAATGATCGCCGATGTGGAAAAAGCCTTCCATATGATATACTTACAAGAATCAGAACGCGACTCCGTCAGATTTCTGTGGCTCAAAGATGTTAACCTACCGCCACTACCACACAACATACGAATTCTTCGCTTCTGTCGGCTACCATTTGGAATAAATGCGTCACCATTCCTGCTTGGAATCTCAATCCAATACGGTATAGAACAACAAAAGCAACAAGATGACACGATCGTTCATCGCTTGGTCGAAAACTTATACGTCGACAATGTGCTCATGATTGACCATTCAACACAATCACTTCTTCACACTTACCACGTCTGCAAAAAGATTTTCAACAATATGTCTATGAATCTCCGTCAGTTCCTCCGGAGTTACTTCTCAGATCCAATGTCTGTTGAGTTGAAAGATGATGAAATGGTATATTGTGGTTACGTGTTCGATTTCTGGCAAGCGAACAATTTATTTTTGCTCTGTTCACTTAATTTGTCATATATCCGAAGCTTAAGATATTTTAAAGACTAGTGCCGTTACAGTGCGAAGCGTGTTAAGTGACGAAAATGTTGTTAATAAATTAAGGTGGCAATGTTGCGGTAACGGTGATGAGATAGTTGTGAAGGTTGTGTGTTCATTTTCATTTATATCGTCAAGGCTAGTTTCGATGTTTTCTTCCTTAGGGTAGTGAAATTCTTGTAACTGTGGCCACGTGGTTTGGTCCTGTTGTAGGAAGTCTGGACCTGACCACCATAGAGATTGTCTTATTTGTTCTTTGGTAATCCCTTTAGTTGCACAATCTGCAGGGTTGCTTTCGGAAGGGATGTAGTATAGGTGTATATTGATTTTTTCCTCTAGCCATGACTGAACTGTGCGTTTTATCTCCTTACATCTGTTTTCCACGAACGTCTCATTTTTGGACTTGGATTGCAGCCAATGTAGTGCTACTTGTGAGTCACTGTAAATATTAATGAGTGTGATTTTTAATTTGAGTTCTTTCAGCACGAAGTTCGAGAGACGAATCCCGATTAGGAGTGCTAGGAGTTCTAGGCGTGGGATTGTCATTGTTTTTGAACTAATGGGTGCTAGTCGTTGCCGGGCCATTAAGATCGTGTTCGTAATGGCTTCATTTTTCTGTATGGCTCTAGGTATGTTACTGTAGCGTATGCCCTTATCGAGGCGTCTACAAACGTGTGAAGTTCATATTGGCTTTCTGTTCGGGAAATGATTGGTCGTGGAACGTGTACCGTGAATCCATGAGTTTGTTCGCATATTAGTTTCCATAGGTTATTATATTCGTCAGGAAGGGTTTCATCCCATTTATGTTGTTGCTTCCATAAGTCTTGTAGCAAAAGCTTTGCTGGGAGAAGTAGAGGTGGTCCGAGAGGATCGAACGTGGAATGGGTAGCTTGTAGAATTTTACGTTTAGTGGGATTGGAAGTGTAAGTTAGCTTACATGAAATTGACAGTTTGTCATTGTTATGGTTCCACGGGATGCCTAGAATTTTTATCGACGAGGCTGTGGATTTGTCTTTTTTGTCGATTAGATTGTTGCAGGCATCGTCATTGGTGATAA